TAAATACTCGTACGGTAAGTTAACATTTTACAGCTATAGTAAATAATTTCTGTAAATTAATGAAATATGAAGAGAAAAATATGCTGTACCTCAGTTTCACTGGTATCATTTGTAGTTTAACATTGCAGAATGTCCACTTTCCTGTGGATCCAAATTCCTGAAGCAACAAGCACCTCTTTTCAGAGCTCTAAAATCATGACAAACTCAGCTCCAAAGCGCAACAACATAAGGATGTTAGCTCAGGATGTTACAAACTTTAACTTAGCAGAAATTTTGCTCGCTGTTTGTTTTATCGATTAAAAAAGGCCATTAATTATTCTATATCTTTGAAAAGTGATCGCTTTTAGTACTGTGTTAGGATTAGGTAAACTGCCCTTAATATTGAAGCAAATCCCAAAAGAATATACCTGTAGAAATATATTAATTAGATACTTGATTAATTATTAGACCAGATTGTATTCACAGTAAAATTATCTAAACAATCAAGATTTGAAGAGCATCACAGCAAGAGGGTTCCCTTTTCAAATCCCTAGCGGTATTTCCCACCATCCAAAAACATGCATGTTAGGTTAACTAAACACTCTAAATTTCCCCTACGAGTGAATGTGAGTGTATGTGGCAGTTGGTCTCTGTGTGGTCCTGTGATGGACTGGTGCCCTGTCCAGGCTGGACCCCGCTTCTCACCCAATGTCGGCTGGATATGCTCCAGTCCCCCGCGAACCTACTAGGGATAAGTGGTATAGACATTGGATAGATGCCCATGATTGTATTTTAGGCAGTCTTGTAAGTACTTAGAAAAATGTACAGATATTTTGAAAAGGGGGTAATATCTGCAAAACTTAACAAAAAACAGAGAATATTTTCAGATGCGAATGACTTAAATTTCTGCTTTAACATTAATGACAATGCTCTTTCGCTCACATAGCACAGACATAAAAAGAAGAAAAAGGAAGAAAAACAACAGATTTGTCAACAAGTTAATTTGCATAGGTCAGAGCATTCAAGTGTGTAACTTAAAAAGGGCACAAATGAAAGATTCATCTGCCTCTGAAGGCAATTACATCCTGTCAAATCTTTTCAGTGAATTTGCTCACCTATGGTCCTGATACCAGGGGATATCTGAAAATATGCAGCTTAGGAATAGTAGCCATGGTAACACAGTTACAACTCCAATTCTCTCTCATGGAAAACAATTAACAGTGACATTTTTCTACATGTGAGGCTTTGACACCCACTTCTATTGTTCACTCAAATCTGTTTTTTCTGTTTATATCTCTCTAGCACTGCTAGCTAGCTGTAGATTGCAAGTGACGAGTCATTTAATCTTTGGCAGGGGTTATGTTTATTTTTAAGGGAGAAGTAGCTGCTTGGATAATTCCCAGTTTCCGCCTCAGTATGTGTGAGGCGTCCCATTTGCCCCACAATACCGACAGCTTCCCCTCTGCTACCTGTGGCTACCCTGCGTGAGACAAAACAGAAAATTTCCTTTTCTGTATCACGAGAGGCATATAGATAGTCTCTCTTCTGACAAACTGCCTCCCTTTGCCATAAGATCCAAAACTCAGCTGATTCCCCAGGTCACAAGGCAGCCTGCGCCTCTGAATGTATTCCTTAATGTTTTATGTTTCTGTATTGAGGGCAGAAAATAATGACATGATGTGATAGGTTGCCTCTTGGAGTTTGTTCCCACAAGAGGTAAAAATATGAATTATAGAGGAAAGGAGATAAAATAGGGGAGGCGCCTTAGATATTATTTCAAGGGGAGAGGGAATAGTTTGACATTTTTGGGAATAGAGCAGTTTTCAAGGCAGAAAGATGTGTCTCCTGGTTGTAGTGTTGACACACTGAAAATCACCAGCTGTGTATTCATCCCAGTTGTAGATGAACCTTAACAGATACACACCAGTGATGATTATTTGTTTCTTTACAAAATGAAAATAAAATTGAGAGAGCTAAACTAATACATGATTATCTATCCAGCTCGAACACAACCTCAAGTTGCAGAACCCAAAAGGCGAATATCTATGATAAGATGCTGTTCTAAGATGAGACAGAAGTGTGCCATGGAGTATCAGCAGGAGTAAGGATAGTTCATTTCAAGCTGTGAGAGTCATTCCGTCCTCTATATAGCACAAAATTAACAGATTATGCAAATGATTACAATCTGAAATTCAAAGAATGATCAAACTGTACTAAAATAATGACCCTTTGAAGCCTAAAAAAATACATAGATAATGAGATGTATGTTGAATATGGATTATTGATTCGATCTGTATGATGTAGAGGATGTATAAAGTTGTGGTGCGGGGGTTCCACAGAATCCTTCAACAAAGAGACAGTTTTCTTGACCTTTTTTCATGTTTCAGGAAGTGACGCTAGTGCCCCAACAGATGACTCCAGATGAAACTGCAAATTTGTGGTAAAGAGGTTTAGAAGATAAATAACAGTCCTTCATGATCTCTTCTCACAAACAAATAACAAACATGTGGAAATGCTTGTCAGCTGGTTGCATTAATACTATTTACGGTAATTTGAATTAAATTCCCTTCTCAGCCTATCTGCGAAGATTTTTAATTACTACTGATGATGTTTTGACACAGGTTAAACATGTACACATTTTACGTCACATTTTATTCAAGACATACACTATGCTCTCTGGTACATGTATTTATAAATGTCATCTATTGGTAAAAGAAAAATAAATCAGTATATTTCAGTAGAATTTAAATACGTCACTAAAGATATTCCTTGTTCGAGGATTTCATTTTTCACGACATTGCCACAGAGAGGCTGAAGATGTGCATGTTTAAAGCCGGGGTTTAATTCCCATAGCAAGGCAAATGGCTGTCATTTTGCAAATGCTAGATCTCAAGGGAAGACAGGCATATTATCACTCTGGCTTCATCGAAATCAGGCCAGCACTTTTTTGAGATATTACATGTGACTCATGCTCACAGACATAGCTCCACAGCTCCATCACAGCGGGATACAATTGGAAGCATCTTTTTTCCCCATATTATCTGGAGGTTCTCTGCAGAGTACCAGAAAAGAAGCAAGTTATTTCATGCCACAAGACAATGTGATAAGCAGCTGGTCTAAAGATTTCTGTATTAAGAACATTAAGCGAATGTTCGTGAGCACAATATCTATCTGCAGTCTGGATCAGAGGTGAAAATAATGTTTGCAAAGTGCATTGCCAGGCGAGACATCAGCCACAAGAAGATGTAAGTAAAGTGTAGAAATTTCTGTTGCCAGGGCTCGTATTGCATATATTACAACGTGTTAGCAGAGAGGTCCTTTTGATGAAAGTGGGTTTCCATGTAAGTTTAATGCCATGGTTTGCCGAACTCTGTTTGAATGTGGATGGTAATGAGGACTGACATGTTGAAACAGCCTGTGCTGCTCATCTCCTCCCCAGGTGCACACAGCAGTCACAGTATAGAGGTGCCCTGCATCTCAGCTTCTTTTGCTGCATTTGTCATGACAAACTGACAACAAACCTTCCGTGACTCTACGCTTCTAAACAGCTATGTTAGTTTGCATGTCTTCACTTGACTAAAAAGTCCCCTTTAAAGTCGGTATCCAGCAGAAATCAGGATGCATTCTGAATTTTTCACATTAGCAAAATGTATCACTTTGCAACAAATAAGTCTTAACTGGTCTGTGAAGCATCAGGTATCTAAACAATCATCAAGTGCAAAACAGTTTATGTTTGTCAAAATGTTCTGATGTGAAATCTGAAATACAACTGAGGACTAACTTAACAGCATTTTAAAAGGATGTAACTTGAGTTTCAGTGGCTGATATCAACTTCTGCGCACTGCAGTGGATCTGTCCATTGAGGGCCATTGTCAGCTTCTACTAATTTCAGATAATGTTTTTCTGTATCACAGAATCCTTATTTCAGTCCAGTCCTAGCAATCCTGACAGGTTCAATAGTTTGAATTTACTTTTCTTGGACTTACATCTTTTCACGGAAAGGCCTCCAGTCCATCACAGGACAACACAGCGACAAGCAGCCATAGACCCTCACGCTCAATTCAAAAGCGAATCCATTGTCACCAGTTTACATGCTTTTGGATGGTATGAGTGAACTTATTTGCATAAACTCAGCAAAAAACATCTTTCTCTGAGTTCAGGGTGCCGATCCCCACGCTCAAACGCTGTGTTGTGTGATTTTAGTGTGGTGTACACAGCCTGTGTAATTCTAAGTAATAATGAAGTAAGTTCCAGAAACTACTTTAGCAAGGCCGAATACTTCATTCTTGCAAATCTGTTCAATTAGTTAACAATTTTTGCATTCGCAGTGCATAATTATGCTGGATACAAAATTTGGAATTGGTGAACCGACTTCCATGTGAAAAAACAACTGACGATCGAGAGCAACTGGGAATGATAGCAGTTTCCAATCCTTTTAATTTCATTCAGAGTGAGACACAGATTGTGCCCATGGCAACAAATAAAAAGGCACTTGTACTTAGTAGGTTACATCAGTTGTTTTACTGATATACATTACAAATGTTCAAAATATTTACATATAGAAAATATCATTTTCCAATTTATTCCTCCATTTCACACAATTTTGTAACTGCTTGATAAAACTACAAACCTGAGACACTAAAATAAAATAGATACAGCAGGGACAGACTCATAAAGCTTGCTACACAGTAGCAAATTAAACAAAAACTCATCAGACCCATTACACCTTTCAAGTCAACGAAAATCAGACTGTACTGTTAACCACAAAATATGCTAAATATACTACATTGTCAAATCTGCAAAATACTCTCTGCCAATGGCTGATCTAGTTGACAAAAAAGTTTGACATTAAAGGTAAGATGTCGACACACGTCAGAAGACATCTTGTTGCTGTAAATGAATTTGTTCAGCCATGCATCACGCACACAAATGCACACGCGCACACAAAGGAGTTCATCCTGTCAAGATGTCGTTGAATCCAGTATTTATTTCTCTGATCATAAAGAGCTGCTGAACAACACATTTGTGATGAACCATTTTTGTCCAGTGCATTTTTGCAGAGCCAGTTGGTAGCCAAATTCGTTGTCGCTGTTTGCTACGAACTCAAGGCATCTCTTTGATTTCCTGTTTTGAATGGATCCTCCCTGAAAAGATAAAAGCAGGCCGGTTAAAATTGGGCCTGGCTCCAGAAGAACAATTTGTGTGCACAATGCAACTTCCCGCCTATAAACACACGCTGCTGTGAATAGATATCGATGTGAGCCGCTGAAGTGCCCTTAGCCGGGCGGTGGCTGAATCACACTCCCTTCTTTATTGAACTAACCAGATGCTATCAGCCTGGCTTGACAGCAAAACTAACTGTGTGATTGCTAGCTGTTTTTTTTTCTCTCTCTAAGATTTTAGAGAAGAAAAAGTAAAAGATCAAATAAATAGAAGAACACGTGGAAGGGCACCATGGAGAAAGGAGAAATGAATTACCAATACCTGTAGGACATACATTACTCATAATATGAGATACATGGGTGTTAGGGGAAAAACCTGTCACATACATATAAAAAGAAAGAAAGAAAACAACAGCTTATTAAGAGTGTGGACTAAAACGGCACATCTGAAGAATTAAAGTGAAAATCCACAGCATGCCCTCATAAAATGAGGCAGACTTTTCTCATAACAGTGTCTGAGCTGACAGAGGACAGTGACTGAGGAGAAGACCTTCAACAGTTAATATGCTATGGAGAGAGCCGTGACGAGGGAAATCTTTTCTATGTGATGAGAGGTCTAAAGTAAGATGTGAGAGCCAGAAGACCTGTGGGCTGGACAGGTTATGAAATTTGTGAGGTAAATTATTCTTTCTAGATTTCCACAGTAGTTTGGCCTTTCTGTGGGGTCGGAAATAAATCTTTGATGGATGAAAGACTGGTAATAAATAGAGTGCACATTTATTGGCCAATATGAGGGAATAGGCTGGGCCAACCAATGCATTTTGCAATAAGATAAAGCCTTTTAGACCAGACCCAATTTTATTTCAGAACCTCTTTGTATTTAATGCTAACTCCAATTAAAGATGCCTTTTTTGTTATGGGTGCTCTAATTTTGTTGACATTTTACTGAAAAAAGAAAAAGGTCACATTAGCAAATGTTGAATGTATATATATATTTCATATTAATCTACAAGTGTTCTTTTTTTAAACCAGATTTTAAAAAATGGAAGAATAAAACCTGTAGAATACAACACTGTAAAATGAATTGGTTTCTGGAATCCCCTGTGAATGTCGAACCATTCACATGTTCCTAATATTATAGGTGGTTAATGTAATGGGTAATAATAAATAAAACAGAGAGGTGTAGAAAACAGAGTGCATCCTCTGTTTTCAAGCCTATCATGCTGTTGTGATTGTTGTTATTTTTGTCACCTTACCCTGCCACAATGTGCCTTACACCCATAGATTAAGCTCCTCAAGCACAGAGGATTGATACTGTTAATCCTGAATACAATGCTCTGATTGGCCAATTGTTTCAAGAATCACCATCAACAAGAACATAACTGGGCCTCTGTGAATTGCTGAACAAACTGAATACATGGCCATGGATTCACATATCTGGATCAATGCCAAAGTTATGCTCGGTGAAAAAACTAGAACATTAAGTGAGAAAAGTAACTACTCTGCTGCTGTTTTCTTCTTAAATGGTTTTGTTAGTTCTCGAAAAAGGCTCAAATATTTCACTAATGACTGTGTATGTGTGCATGTATGTATGTCCAATATGAAAGCTTTTGTGGGCTCTCAATTAGCTTTCCTGTTAAAGACTGAATGATATTGATTTGCCGCTCATGCATAACAGCAAGCAAGCTATACATTTTAAATGAATAGATCAGATGGCTAAACGTATAGTATTTCTTAACACATCTTATTTAGACAAAGTACAGCAAAGCTTACATTAACTACTTCAAGCGAGAAAGTCACTTGTGACGTGATATAAAAGGTGAAAGAGTTTGCTGATATATTAGAACTAAAATTGCCAAACAGTTTAACTGATTTTCTGCAGAATTTGTAGTGAGAACAAATAAACCGTTTCTTTCCTATTTGCGCGGAGCACTTAATTTCCCAAATGCTTCTACGGCTTCATCAAGGCAATCTATTTCTGTTTGAGCTTGACACTTTGCACATATGCAGTCACAACTGTGTCAATAATTGATGCCACATTTCAGAACCATGATATGCTTGTGCTTGAGCTGTGCTCTCATCCTGTCTGCTGAATAATGTAGAATTAACTACAAAAAAAAGACTGAGGTGAAGTTATGTGAAAGGGAGGTTTAAGCATAAAAAGCTTTACACACTTTGTGACCATTACATTTAAACAATGTTTAGAGTGTTTGGTGGAGGTGCCGTAGCTTAAAGTGATAAAGTAATATTTAATCTAAAATTATTACTTTTAATATAATTTCTACTGAAAGAGGAACAAAAATTGCTGTGTTTGTAAGGTACTCATGTCTTCTGTTGAAATGCAGCTCACAACTTCAAAGCCATAAATGTCAAAATTCAACAATGAAGTCTTAATGACGGCTTTAACAAGGCAAAGACTGTAAGAAAAAACTCCATGTTAAAAAGATAAAGCCAGCTCGATAGTTCATTTCAACAAATTACCATAAGTTCGGCTAATCGATAATAGCAGCCTGAGTCACCGGCTTGTGTTTACCAGTCATACTGCATGTTGTGTCACCTGAGTAAAGAGCCAGTGGAGCTTCATGCGTTTGGCTGCAGCATAGGTGCACTCGATGAGGCGCGGCCTGCTATTCACGTCCACCAGGCACTTGTTGTCATCATCATCAACGGTGGGACTGAGGAGCCCAATGTGGAGCTGCTGACTGCTGGTGTAGTACACATTCTGAAAAGAAAGCCAATATCCCCATGTGGTTTGTTTGTTTATATCATATCATCAAAATCTGCAAATCATTTGGGGGAGAAGAGCAAATGCATCAAATGTATTCAGTGGCATACATTTTGGATTTAGTTTTGTGTAGTACCACAGAGTGATAAACAGAAGTCCTAAAATAAATTGTGTAGTGAATCATATGCAACCTCCTTTTGTAGTTTAATACTAGTCAGTAAATAAAGAGTAATGAATAGATGGAAACTTTAAGCCATGAATACTAATATGTTTAGCCGTGCATTATGTTCTACTTTACTCTCCCACTCATCTCATGACCCCACAGATTTATTTGGTGACCCACTGTACAGGCCAACGCCTACAAAGGCTGGACAACAATATTCAACTATACAGTGCATTAACTTGTTCAAACTGGATCAACTCCTCCACTTCAAGCAGCTTGAACAATACAACAATAGACCAATGTCAGAGGGGAACTTTTTCTGCATAATATGATTTTTATTTAGAATATTATGCTTGTAGAGCATCAGTCAGCAGTAGCTTCAGACACATAAATTATTGGTTTGCTGAGTCCAAATGACAAAGAAAGGATGAGGAGGGAACATTTTGATCAGAGCAAAACTGAGTTTGCACAGAGGATAATATCCCAGAAATGAACAGCTAGAGCCATTTTACAATGCCCCTCAATTACTTACAACCATCCACCACAGCTGCTATTTAATAAAAGGCAGGAGAGCCACACTTACTTCCTCTGCTGGTTGTATTCATCTCATCTTAGTTGTCTAATAATGCCAAAACTGCCTTTTTCACGCCAGACTTTTAACAGCCAGAGTGTGATTTTTTTTGTTTGTTTGTGCTGCTCACTTTTGGATCTTACGGCTTCAGACTGCCAGACTGTATGTGGCAGCGGCTTCCATTGCTCCCCTAATTAAATCGATATATTCCAATAATGTTTGAGCTGAGGTGCTGCACTGTCTGCTGACTGTCGATGTGCTGCTCTAAAGTCAGTTCCAATGGAAAGCTTCATAACTTTCTCCCTTTCACATGTACCTTGGCAATTTTCTTTGAGCCCGCTGACATGCTGAGTTCGTCTCTGCAGCGTGGACTCAAAGCTACATCAGAGAAAGCCAGCTGAAGCTTGCAAGGACAAACATTCACTGACTACAGCAAACATCTGAGGGGTCACAATATCTGTCCCACTGTACCGCCAACCTAGGGGATCATTCCTATTAAAGATGCAACATTAGAACCACAATATTTTCTTGCAGGGAAAAGTCCAGAAATCATGAAAGAATACCCCAGTACTTTGTTTAAAATGCTTGTGTTAATTGGACAGATTTAGCAAGGCTATTTAGCCATCATTAAGGATTATAAAATGAGCTTCAGCTGGAAGATGAGTTCACAGATTGGCCTATCCTGTATCACTTTTAAATTAACATGGTGATGTTAGCGGCAAGGACAGGGGGCCTCTCTGTGCAGAGTTAACATGTGAGTTTAATTGGTGACCTAGGAATGTGTGTGTGGCTGTTTATCTCTGTGTGGCCTTGTGATAGGCTGCGGACCTGTCAAGGGTGTATCACACCTCTTACCCAATGTCAGCTGGGATGGGCTCCAGCCCCTCCCTCAGTGACCCCTCTAAGAATAAGTGGTTAAATGAATGAATGTTGATATCGATGCAGGTGTAATAACTGTGAAAGATGTCAAGTAGATTAAGTAGATTAGTTTGAATTAAGAAGGGAAATGTGAGATCTCTGTCACAGCAAGCTTTAATGATCTTTGAAAACAATCTTTTCAGATGTAATGGGATGGAGCAATCGATATGAGGTGGAGGAGGTAGGAGAAAGTAGATTATTACTGTGCTGGGATATGAGGTATAGACATTAAAATATATCCTGAACACTGAATAAGATGTCCAGAGAGTGAAAAATATTGCTATAAACGAACTAATTAAAAAGTGAAAGAAAATAAAATACAGGGAAAACCTCTGTGATCACAAAGGCTTTGTTAGAGCATGGCACTTATGATCATTTAAGGGAAAAATGGAGATAAATAACAACGAGTTTATGATGATATAAGGGCTCGGAACATTGGATTTGATTATCTTTTCATTGATTAACTCTGGACACATCACCTCTAAACAGGAAGACTTACTGAAAAGCTGTAAACAGAGAATAATAGATGTATTTTCTTTCATCTTGGAAGAAAGGCTCAAGGATAAATCCAACTCCTAGCGTAAAATTTGACAGAGGAAATACCGTTGCAGAGATGCAGAAAGAGTGATAGTTTGGGAGCGCTCTTACCTGTGGGGTCATCCCGTGACAAAGATACAAGATGGGGACATTGTCATTGTCCGGGCCCTGGTCCAGGCATAGATCGCTCTTCAGAGAGTTTTTCAGCTGACAAACAAGCAAAAAACACAGTTAATATGATCAATTTTTCATCTAATCAAACCAGGATGAAACCTTTTGGATCATGTGTGGGGTCTGATGCTGTATGCACTCATTCTCCGAATTCCTGCAGACCATTATTTCTACTGGGGGTAAAACTAATCATCCAAAACATAATCCAACTGTGTTGCTTTCTGATGAAAATGTCTTCAAACGAATAAGAAAAAAGTATTTTGAAAATTCAATAACAATCTTATTCTAGCAGTGGAATTAATGCTTTCATTGTGATTCACAGAATGTAAAAACTAAAGTACAAATGAAAGAAAATGTAGAAGAAGCAATAATGAGCTAGGACATCTAAAACGTGAAAGGTACTTTGATTCCACTTGATCCCAATGTTGCTTTATAAAAATGCAAATCATAAGTGTAACACTGTACGAACATGACTCAGTCTTTCAGACTTAGAGGGTTCTTCATGTTTGTCTTGACAAAGGTCTGCCTGATTGCAAGATCCAAACTACTCCATGGGCAGCTCCAGGGAAAGCGCTATGTGTGAGGAGTGAATTAGGCAAACATGCGTGATCAGACAAATACACAGCTGGGAATGCTTTCAGCTTCCCAAAGGCTCTGGGGATATCTTCTTCCTCTATCTGATAATCAGCTAACCCACAGGCAGGACATGCCTCTATCAACACCACATGTCTACATGTTTCAACCGATGTGAAAAACAATCAATATGCAACACTGAGTGACACCTGTGTGGACACGTTCATAGTTTTTAAAGTCCACTGGTGTCTGTAACATGTGTCATATATCTGAGTGATATACTGTGGATAGAAGAAGTGCAGGGGGATTTAAAACAGCCCTTCAGGTGGGACTGGACTCTAACTTAACGAGCAATGCATGTCAATCCAATATAGATTTTGACTGAGGACCCAAGCCTCCATTCATTGGTTTAGAAGTGGAGGATTAAGAATGAATACACCTCGAAAAAAAGTTTCAAGGCTTAAGAAAATCCTAATAGTACAGCATTCAATGGTCCTCATTGCCTGTATTTTTTTTGCAAGTGTGTCAAATACATGTCACATGTTGAAACGGGATTAGATCATTCCTTTTCATAGCAATATAGGCTGATTGGTAACACGTCAGTCACGTGACAGGATACATCAAAATTCTTTTGAGGCTTTTAGAAATGAAGATGGAGGGGGGGCTTCAATCTGTGAAATGATGTGTGACTGTACAGTGTCATGATTTAATTCATTATCTGAGGTCCAGCAAATCATCAGAAGATTAACAGAATCCTTATGTGGTGGTTTGGCAAAAAATCAAAATGACTGGGTGTGATCTTTAATTCTCCAAGTCTCACTTCAGTTGTACAGAACTGATACTGGAGTGAAAGAGATTGCAGAGGCTCAGGAAAACCTGGTTTTTAGTGCATTGTATGATATAAAGCTCAAAACATTTCCAAAGAAGCCCCTGAAATGCAGCTGACATCTCAACCTTCTCATTCAAGACAAACTGAGAAGTGCAACTGAAAACTGGCCAGTGGTCAAACAAAAGCCTGTCTGGAAATAATTGTCAACATTTTTGAGCCTAAGGCGGATTCACAGTTCAATTTTTGGAAACTTTCAAAAGACATTAGCGTTTTAGATAATAATACATAAGAAAAAAAGAAACATATAACAGACAATATGGCCCTGCACTAGACTCTTTTACCTGTAATCCACAGCTATGAGGTATGCAATTCACTGAACACATTATGAAACAAAAAATTGACAAAGGAGCCTCTGAGAGGCAAATCAGTTTATCCAATGCTGCAATTCTTTGTCTGTCAAAGTGTGATGGAGGGTTGGTCAAATCAATAAGAATGTGCAATGCAGCTTTAGGCATAAAATCATGAATTCATTAATTTGCATTGACTTAACTTTGGAATGTGAGTACCACAAATGAGCAAACACGTTAATCATAAATGATAATCCAGACAGAAGAAATACTAATATGCTACCTGTAAAGTATCAGCATGCTCGCTCTGTTGATTTAAGCAAAATACCATGTTAGCTTTAGGCTGAAAGCACTGCTGTGCATGATTACAGAAACGCTGCTGGTGGCACAGAGGGCTAATCTTGAAAAGATCATCTCCTGCTGTACCCAAAAAGCTGACGTCAGTATGACTCTTTGATGTTCTGCCTGTAATATTTGTGTCCTAGTTTAGGTATATGTTGAAAATGACATTTTTACCCAATGTTTTATAAGGGAACTTATCTTTATAAGATCAATTTATGTTTTAAAAAAATGTAATCTGATCAAATCTGCTGGTATAAATATTGAAATCATAAAATCAATTAATTTATAAAGTTTTGAAGAAAATAATGGTTGATGATGGATTACAATAAAACTTTTTTGTACAGAGAAAGACCAACAATTTGCTCCCTGTAATGAATCCTTGAGCCAGAGGCTGAATAATCCATGAAATGCATATGCCAAATATAGAATAATGAGGTCCACTTGCTCAGAGAAATTAATGTAATGAGGTCCTTGTATGTATGAGCCCACAACTTGTTAGTTTCTGAAACAAAAAAAAAAAGCAGTGGATGCAGAACTACTGCAGTGAAGTCTGAGTTGCTGTGTAGAGTGTATCACAGTAATGTGAGGTGGAGGGAGGGTGGAAATAAAGCTGTGTCAGAACAGCTGGAATGGACAAATAGAAAGGCTGCCAACATGCCCCTATTGGCTGTCAGTTTCTCTGGCAGATCTTGCACCAAACTCCCTGGAAGACTATAATAAAGGGATGATTACGTGGGTTAATTATTTATTTTTGTCTATGTATATAAGCCAATAACTGCTATTTAAATAAATAACACTGCTGAGAGCAGTCGTCAGCATCCAAACAATGCTGTTCTGGTTGTGATAACAGCAACTTACTACTCCATATGCAATGGTGTCGCTGTACATCCTCATGTCAGGGTAGATGTTGACCAGGTACCAGCGAAACGTTTTGCACTGCAGCCTCTTCCTCAGAGCTTTCCTCTCAGAGATATCACCTATATCAATCCCCGAGTCCTGGGATGTGCAAACAACCACACAAACACACACACACACATACAAACACACACACAGATGTACACAAACAATAAAGCTGGTTAGCTGTGGTTTGTTGAGAGGCGAATCAGATAAGGCTGCACTGCAACCACTTGGAGTGTATTTAAAAAGCTTCTGTGAAGTTTGGATTCTTTCTTTTTTCTGACTTTAAAAACGATTAAATGTCCAGTGGCCTAATCCCCAGCAGCAGTAAGGCCCAATCTCAAGTACATTTGCCAACTGCAGCTATTATGATGCATAATATCTAATGTTTAATATATGGAATCTATGAGATTTATTAACATCTATTTGGTACTTGTACATTCTATTGAATTAATTTCTTTGTACATAAATAACTATGAGTATTGTTCATAAAGAATCCACAAGGATTTTTTATGATACAATGCATTGTAACTACTAAAGACAATAATATTTTATTAGTCTCTTGAATATGTTAATCTTAATCTTCTTTAACTTATCTTGAACTTCGTGCAATGAAATGATCTGTGTTTCACAGGATCTGGGTTCTTGTTTCACCCTCATGTGTTACCATCTGTTGCATGTTTTCTCATCTAACATCACTCACGCTGAAGCACGTGCAGGTGGAAATGTTGCTGCTCTTGCTGTGATTAGCCTAAAAACTTCTGTTTACTCAGATGGGTGCAAACTTCAGATAAACGTTCTCAATTACCACCAATGACTCTGTTGTGAAGATAATTCACGGGGCAAAGGCCGGGGTTGATTTCAGGCTTGTGTAAAGCACCTCATTATTGACTGAATGAACTGCCCGCAGATGTTCATCTATTCACTGCTTAGATTTACATATTCAAACAGATTGCATGGGACAAGAAAAAATAAAGTAAGTAACAAACATTTGACTTACACTTTAGGGCAAGCTATATTAAACATCAAATGACAAACTAGGATTAGTCAATCTAATTGAAAAATAAACATGCATTCCTTACTAAACTGCTGAACTACACAACACAAAAAAACACAAGATGTGGGATATTTTGGGGTATAGGTTCTTGTGAGAAGCATTTCCTCACATTGCCGCGTTTTGAGTTCTGCTGAAACAAATAACATAATAAAATGTTCTTCAATCATTATTACTTATTTCACCCCTCAAAGGCACAAAGAATCCAATTTTCTTCCTTTTATTTATATTTAAAACGGTTAGTATCTCTCCCTCTATGATTATTGTTTGAACAGTCATTCTAGCCATTTAAGTTATTTTATTGAATGAAGTATTTGGTGAAGTATTTATTCATTCAGTGGCATGTATCTGATTCAAGCCGCTCTGATAGTGACAAAAAATCATTTCCTGTGGCCCCTCAAGGCTGTCATGGGCCTCCTCCAAATAAATATCTGCAATTAGAGGGGAGAAAAATGGCACTCAACACTGACAGACTTAAACTTGGTCCCTGCAGGCCAGGTATGGTGTGCTTGTATTTTCCGATATCTTGCACAATATATTAACTTAAGCAAAGTTTCAATTAAAGATAGGATAAATAATAGCTACAGTTAAATATTATGATGTGATCTTCTGTTCATGTTATTATTATGTGGTATAACTTACCATCCGCTATTGGTACAGTGCTTCCAGGGATACTCTCATATATTCATTTGTAATATTGAAAAAAGTTTTTTTCTTTGTTGTGCGAAGTACAGTACCTGATTCTGCAACCTAAACCTTTGAGCTAGTTTTTTAAAACTGAAATACAAAATGATGAACATAAACAACAAGAAGTCGCTTTCTGTAAAACAATTAATTCAGAACACTGTCTAAACTAGAAAAGGGTTCAGTCATTCAGATTTGCTGAATGACCGGACCAGAAGATGATTAAGAACCTAAACAATTAGCAGAAAAAAGCTGAAGGCTAGAATGACTGAAAGGCCTTAGATTTTTGCTGAGTCATTGCAAAAGACTGATGGATAATTTACATGCCAGCCACATAAAAATTTAAGACAGGAAGTAATCTTACAGTGAACATGGTGACCAACAGTTAAAGGATTTGAAGGCGCAGAACTCACTATGAATAACTTTTAGGAATAAATCCCATATTTCTCTACAGAATCTGCAAAAGCGACAGTACACCTGTTGATGTCAGAGTTGATGGTTCTACAGATAGAAATACATCCAACAGATGTGACCTGTACAGAGGAGCTCCAGGAGAAAACTTTTTCTATTTAATTAGGGTAAAACTGCTGTTGCCAATGAAAGGTGAGGAATTTTGGAATAGTCTGTTCTGGACAATAATAATAATTATAAAATTAAAAAAGCCATGTTGCCACAGTAGCACTAGACATGGTCTGTCTTTCAAGAGAATAAACCTAATTTCAGCCATACAGCCTGATGGAAATAGCACAGCTTCAAATTGGAAAGCTACCTGCCATGGACAAGACGGCCTCTGACAACACAAGAACATAAGACCTGAATCAGAGCTTGAATAAGCCTTTAAACAATCCAAATGATCATCAGCACACCCACCAATGGTTAAAAAAGAAAGGAGGATTCATGTTACATGTGGCCAGATATGAATCCCATTCAACACTTGTGGGAGTATTGACTCGAAAGGAAACATAAAACTCTTCAGCATCAGGAAAATCTTTTAGATAACATCAGAATTACTGATATTTTTGTTTATTACATTTCTGTAAAATATTGTTATTTTCACATTGCACTCACCTCCATGGGAATATTCCAGGCCATGTAGACGTGGCTTTTAAATTCATCCATCCAAACCTCTGCTACCCTGAGGGCATTTCGCCGCACGTGAGACGTCAGGTCCTCTGTGTAAGGCTTATGGGCGCGCTCTATGTGGGCAATGCGTGCACAAGGCAAAACCTCAACGCTGCCCCCACACTGCCACACCTGATTTCAGAAAGGGAGAGAACATCTTCAGCAGAAGTCCTGAAATGACACATGCTTTCAAACACAGCGAAGAACGTTACATTTTTAGCTCATGTCGAATAAAAATCCTGCGGAGTAATGAACAGACACATGAAGAACGTGAGAAGTGAGAAGTTCAAAGGCTGACGTCATTTTTCCTTTGTGCGGTTCTTGAGCTGGAAAAATGATTTTTTCTCTAAAGCTAATAGCTGTGTTGAAAACTCTTTAGTGGCATAAAGTACTGCAAAGTACTGCAAAGAGACCACGATGGCCCGGTGCTTTGACCAAACACACTTGCTGATATGCAGATGCCTCTCATCACCTGTGCCGCCCACTGCATCCCTGACTGTGCAGCGGCAGCCGCCATGGTGCAGAATATTGATGTTCCAAGAAAGAAAAAGCCTGACTTCCTCATGACTAAAAGGCAGTAGCACTAACTCTTCACATAATGAAGGCCTCTGGGAGGCCAAAGATAACGTGGGAGAAGGGATAATCTCTGCAAAGTTTTCCCACCTGTGATATTGTTAACCAACATGGCAGGTATAAAATCAGATTTTCCTGAATATTGGATATATGACAGTAAACCAAAAATACATCTCTGCCTCATAAAAATCACATCCTACAATTTTGTTTTCCACATGAATCCACTGGAGTTAAATACCTATAGTTCTCTTTTAAAAGAGTGCATTTACAAATGTTTTCTTAACTCAAAAAGTGTATTATTGTATTGTATTATTCTGGGACTTGTAAAGTTTTTTAAAATTTAGCATTCCAAGTTTAATGCTGGCAGATAAACAGGATTGACTGGGCAGTCACGATTTCTTTGCATCCTTCCCTGAGCTAAGTCTCCATTCTATTTGTCTAGTGTCGAGGTACCTTTCTGACAATGAAGCAATTACCACGAGCTTTTTCACTGCAGTGTGAACCATCTGCAGTTTATCACTAATTTTATATTGCCTTCGTCAAAATTCATAACAATAAACATGCAATTACTGTCAAGACGGAGGTCTCTCATAACTATCACCGGCTATGTTATCATTCCACTCAAAAGAAAACAGCTTTAAACTCTCAGATATTCTTAATTAATGGTGTATACTTCTTGAACGATTAAACTAACACCTAATTTACGCATTGACTCATACAATCTGTTCTCCCCTGTGCTACTGAAGTGAAAAATAATGCTGCGGCAAACTGTATCTCAACACTTTACTCATGCATGACCTTAAAGGAGACACTACACTCAAATATGCTAAATGTGTAAATGTAATTGCTGACCCCTGCTCGGTGCCATTTGTGGATGGTAGAATAGTTAACCCATATTCACAAATAAATCCCTGATGCACCCCTTCAAGCTAATGTGTGAATCTGCTTTATGTTATTGAGAGTCAGGTCCTCACTCTACCAAGTGTGGCTTAGTTTACAGCAATGGAACAATCTCAGTCAAGGCAGCACAATCTCTTCCTTCCTTGTAAACTTAAACCCCATCTCAAGTTGCACTTCACGTCTTCTTTTCTATTTTTTATCGAGGCACTGTCTGTCAGGTCCTCTTTAAAATACTCTCCAGTCTAAATCCTGTTTCACTAACCATGCAGCAGTTCTTCCTCTAATATCTTTTTGTAGAACATTTCTAGCAAAGAAGGCATCTCCGATTACAGCTGTTTGTGCCTGGATCTGTTATCAAGATACCTTCTGCCTGAGAGTAAGCTAATTTTACTGCTGCGCTCATCATTATTAGCTTTGGATAAGAGCAGGAGCTCATACGTTTAGTGCACAATACAAGTTACTCTCTCATTTTGTGTGTTTAATGGCAAGAGTTACAAAACGGGAGACACAACAGCTTTTGATATGAATACTCAAAAGGTAGATTTGAAACAGCTATGAAGCCCTGTAGGATTACAATGATCCCTGTTACTGTGCAGTATTTGTTTGTATGACGAAATTATAAAATATAACTTGAAATAATGAATGACATACATTATTGTCTTTACAACTTTTCTCTGCTGTTCACTCATTTAATACGTTCAAAAAAACACTGATAAGTATGAGAGATATGTACTCTGCACACGTGAGAGGGTCAGGCACACAGGTACTTCTGATATATAACTCATCGGAAATAGCACTATTGGATGCTTTATCTAAGTGAGGATTTAGAATAGGCTGAAGTCACTGGAGGGTTTAAGAAAGATGATATGGTGTCGTTTCAAGATGAGCGGAGTGAGATCTATAGAGGCCTGAATCAATGAATCGGCTGTGAGTCATGGTTTCTGAAATGGAGAGGTGGTGTGAATTTTCCTGTTAAATACAGTGGTCGTGAAAGAGTTCAAAGGCACGAGAAGCAAAGATTAAATTTATAAATGTTTAATTAGATTTGCTACCAAGGCTCCAATTAATTTACTATTCCCCTTAAAACAACACTGAGGTATCCAGCGATTAACACAATAAAGTTTGAATTTAGGAGAAATCTAAATCCTTCCTTAACCTACACAGCAACCTTTATGAAAGATGGGTTTTATTGTGTCCTTAGGGTCTTGTATTTGTATTGACAGATATCTTAGATTTTTGGTTTTCATTTACATCTCTGCTGTTCCTCCAGAAACGTTAACTGTAAAAAATGAAAAAACACCTCACTGCATTCATTTCAGATTTCTCCAGTATCAAAATAAACATCAAAGCACAGACCAACTTGAAAGGTAAAGCTTATCTTATACCATACCTGGCCAGAGTACAAATTGAGGCAGTGCAGCTACTTGGCATTAAGTTTCTTCTTTTTATCAAGTGGCGATTTATATTTTGTCTTTCATTTAGACTGGGGAGTTAATAATTTCCTGCCATCTACGCAGAAATGCTCAACAACTGATAGAATCATCTGGAAGAATCAAGTCAAATAACAAAAAGCTCAAAGGATTTAGTACAATAGAAAGGAAAGTTCAGGTGAGTAATGCATAAATGCATAACCATGGAAAGTGAATATTGTTTGTTCATTATTTGAATACGGGAAACTAAAAATGGGGACGGAACCAAAAGTTAAACTAATTTAATTATAATTGTCTATGCACGAAACTATCTTTTTTTGGTTTCTTCATACTCATCCTTAAATTGGTATTTGTGAAGGATATTAATAAAGATGGAGGCTAAAAATGAGAAATAGTGATAAAATTTGCAGACATAATAACATTTTACTTACAGAATTATTTTTTTTTTCAACATGTGAAGGAAGATATAGATGTTAATATTCGGTAAAGAAAGCACAGGACCAACTTTCTTGATTTTCTATGTCGCCCCAGCACATAGTGTTCAGCAATTTTGTCCTCAGAGGGAAGCATAATGAAAAATTCACCAGTTCCAGTTGTCACATAGAGCCATCACAGTGTCATAGGCCCACTATGATCCCCACACGATGGGGGAATGACTATTTGCTGCATTGATCTAAATACATGCTGAAAACTGAAAATTTTGAAAATTGAGCACTTTAATGAATACTGGAATAGGCCTTTCCCCTTCCTCTCTGCTGTGCTTCAGCTTTGTCCCTACAGAGCTTTTCTCTAAAGAGGAGGGATGTGCTGTAAGCATGTAATTGCTGCCAGTAACCATGGCAACTGAAGAAGTGATAGAAACTGTTTAGAGACTCTTTCTGGCTCATAGCGGATATTTTCTTTTTTTTTATTTCTTTTTTTTTCATCAAAATATGGTTGAATCTTGCAAACTGCATTAGAGGCACTCTGAAGGGCCTGAAAAACACCATTTGCTTCCCACACTATACCAAGCTCATGTATTACAGTCAGGGGCAAAATAACAATTTCATAGCAAACATGACCAACTAATGTTTTGCTTTAAGCTACACTCAGAGTAACTGGCATAAAACTGGTATAAAACAAGACTTAATAACTTAAATAAACTCCAGTGCAGTCACTAATTAACACTTGGACACCCCTTTCAGCTTGACTTCCTGATAATTTTCTCTTAATTTCCTGAAGTTAACAACTTGCATGACAGTGTCAATTTTTGGGGAAATTTATGGAGGTATAAAACTCCTGTTTTATAAACTTCGTCATGCTATATAATATAACTGAATAAATAAAATAAAAAAGAATGAAAGAAGTGAATGAACACAAACTAAAGTCTATGTGAGATGTTTAATAAAAAATATTTTCATTTTTGATCTTGTGGTAAAAAGGAATCCATTCAAAGTATTAAAACTACTACTAATAGTAATTAATATAATAACTTACCAGTCTTAGTTTTTATATTTAAACCTTGAGACTTTTCTGATTATATACTGTCAGTGCGGACAGAGGAGGACCCAATAGCACAGTTCAGTTCAAACGTTTATTGAGGTGCTGGAGGCAGGAAGCAGGAATCTTGGTTCTGGAGGCAGGAAGCAGGAATCTAGGTTCTGGATCACGGGTGGGAGTCAGAGTCAAAGAAAAGCAGACAGGTTAGTTATGCAGGCTTGCAGACGATCTGACAAGAGTGGAGTGAAAAACTGGGCCTTATATACAGAGGTGGTAATCAGGAAATGCAGAGCAGCTGGCAGGTTGAAGGGAGCAGAGCAGATACAGGTGCAGGCAATCAGCCCAAGCAGAGGGCTCATGACAGGACCCCCCCTCTAAGGGACGGCCCCAGAAGTCCCCAAAACGACATCACATTGGGTGGGCGGAGAGGGAGCCAGTGGAGGTTCAATACTCCTCTGAACGATCCGACTCCATGGCCCCATCCTCCAAAGGGACCTGTGAGACTCCATCGGGGGCAAGGTCTAGATCAGAATCCGAGCCAGACACAGGGTCAGGGGCTGATCTTGAGGCGTGACGGGACCCCTTTGGACGACCTCTTTGGGCGGCAGGTTGGTCCGGATGCAGGCGGTGGAATTCGGTGATGAGGGTCCGGTCAATAATTCGACTGGCCGGAACCCAGGTTCTCTCCTCAGGTCCATATCCCTCCCAGTCAACAAGATATTGAAGTCCCCTACCTCTCCGTCTGGACCG